TTTGTTGACCCATTGCTCTTGTTGCCCTCCCTCCCCCCCTTCCCCATCGAGGAACCTCCTGCTGCCTGCTCATCTCGCCCTCCAGCTGGTTCCCTCCACTGTCCAGAAGCCGCCGAGCTCTCCTGGCATGAGTAGGATGGCTAATCTAGATAGCGGGAGGCCTCCCTCCTGCTAGCATACACAAGAGAAGGAAACCCTAATTGCTTATGTCATAAAGCTCTCTGACCCAGATAAGCCTTCACTCCCCAAAGCTGCTGAGATAAACCCCACTTTACCTCACCAAACCTGCCTCTCCTGATCCACCATCCCCCTCCTAACCTTTCCGCACCTTCTGCTACGTTATTAACACCCTGAGCAAGGAAAGAAAAAAATCTACATCATGGGTTTTAAAGTTTAAAAAAGATGACTAAGCATATACCAATTATATATAGTATGTATGTAAAACAAATGAATAACCTAACTTAAATGCATGAGTACTCTAACTCAAAGATTTTTGCTACATTGGTAAGGCCTTGCTGTTGTACATGAGTAATAGGGAAGTCGCGATGAAGTGAGTGGAAGGCAAAAACAAAGCCTTACTTAATAAAGCTGGTGATGACCAAGTGTGCGTCCAATGAAAGCTGATCTAAAGTCATAGCATGGCGTTGCGTGCCACTTGCCCTCGTGTGCCTGGACCCAATAATGAAGGCTTAGCCACAAAATGCCACGGCCCCTCGCACAGTTGTCGAGTGCTGAATGTCACACGTGGTCCACTTTATCAACCAACAGATGGCCGGTTAAACCATCAACGCTCGAGCGAGGTTGAAGCTGAGCACAATGATACTGACGTGTTTTATTTTCTTCATCACCTTTCTTTTTTTTTTCGTTTATCAGGATATAATGAAGGCTCTCCTGGGAACCTCACTGGCCATGGGCGTCATTGCAGAGGGAATTCAGTCCATATGAAGCAGAAGTCATACAGAGAACTCATTAAACTCCAGCGTAACACAGATCTTAATTACTAAGTAGGAACTTTTAATTGGATTCTGTCCCAGCTCACCTTGTAATCACCTGTCACATGCTGTTGGTGCAGGGATGGCTTTAAAGCCTCCCCATCTTAAACCCCGTTACACCACAGGTTAGAGTCAACTAGGTCAAGTGTTTTGGAGAATGATACTCCTCTGATAACTCGCAGTTTTCTCACTTTGAGCGACACATATAAAGGTTTTACATAACGTCACGCACGCTCTGAGTTCAGACGGGCGAAGCCTGCTATATTTGAAACGCTTTACTTGGACATGAAGTGTTGCAGTTATTTTCAAATGATGCTTCTGGAAACTCTGTTGACATTAGATGTCATTGCAAATCCCTCTGGTGAAGTTAATTGATTGGGTTTGAGCAATTCCAAGTGCTCAAAGAACCTTCGCATGACTGAGGATGTTTGTTTTCTTACTTACAATTTGTTTTCAAATTACTTTTCATTTGAAACCTGTACACAAACAATACAAGAAGAAAATGTAATAATATTTAATTACTATTTATAAAAACTGGTGGTATAAAAACACATACAGTAAAGTTATTTATTTTACAGTTTTGTAGGGTGAATGAATGCATTTTTAAAAATTCAGCCCAAGGAAGTCTTTACTCATCTTATAACAGAAGAATTTGGACCCATTTTTTATACCAAATAAGCATTTCAGTTTAATAACATAAAAGACAAATACATTTCCTCATCCTCCCACTTTACTCTTGCATAAATGATAATATATATACATGTTTAATTTTGAAGTATTTTGTACATTATTTCATATCAGTGACCTTCCCTGATTTGTAAAGTGACTCATTAAAGGAGCATTTCCTGAATTCTTTCATTTTTTTAAAAAAAAAAGAGTCTATTATCCAATGATTATTGCGATTGTTGTCTAATCCTTCAGTGCGTGATGAAGTTTGACTGAATGCTTTACAATATTTAAAAAATTGTCAGGGTCTCGGGGGGTGGTGTGGGGGCTAAGACAGGGGTTAGAGGCAGAGGCAGCACACTCTGTGGACAGGTGGCAGTCTGTCACAGGGCTCACTACATCTCAGTTACATCTAAACAATTATTATTTTTGTCCAGTAAAGCTGAATTTTAAGCATGTTCACAGTGTGGATGCTGTTACATTTCCTTTGATTTAATGAAGTCCAGTCTGAACCTACTGTAGGTTCAATAGAAAAAATGTGATATTTTAAGTGATATCAGTCTTACCCGTAAGTGTCAATAAATTAGAGCCATTAGCACAGATCCTTTCCCAATTTTTCCCAAATACCTCTTGGAGATGTTATATTTGTATTTCTCCCTTTTTATCAATCAAAAACCTTCAATATATAGAAACCTCTCAACTTTTGTTGAATTGAAAACTGACTGAATGGCCAAAAGGGATTTCTGAAGTTTCTACGTGTAGTATGTTTGCTAATGTTGGTAAATAGACTGCACAGGATTAAAGGTAATATATAAAATTAAGAAATTACAATAGTAAGTGTTTTGCACACTTCCATTACACTGTCTTGTCTTGTTTTTTTGCACATTGCACTTTACATAGTCCTGTGTTTGTCTGTCATATGTAGGACCAGGAATGTTGTCTCGTTTCACTCTGTACTGTACATGTTTGAAATGACAATAACAGTCACTTGACTTGACATCTTCATGCAGCACATTTAGTGCTTTCGAACAAACAGACACTCTCTCAGTGGATGCACTGGAGGCAGCTCAGGGTTCAGTATCTTTCCTAAGCCATGTGGGCTGGATGATCCAGAGATCAAGCCACTGACCTTCTGACTAGAAGATGACCTGCTCTACCACCTGAGCCATTCTTTCTTTCGCATACTGAGTTTGTGATATAATCAGGTGTGATTTCACTAACTTACTCTATTCTTGAGTTAGAGCTAGAGTCAATCACAGTCACGGGTCAAATGTAAATAATCCAGGTTTATTAGAAATTTCAACAATACAAATCAGGCATCATAGAGAAAAAATAAATAAATAAAAAAAACAATAAATTTCCAAATAAGGAAGAAACACTGCACCAGGAAAAAGCACTGCACCACATAATCACACAAGGTAACGTGTTCAAACTGAATCTGCTCCAAAAACGCTAAATAAATTATTTCATAGTGGTTTAAATTTGGTGCTACAGGTTATTCTTTGTGGCTCGAGGTCATAAAAAACTATTCCTGTTAACAAACAAGAGTTTTTACAATAAATATATCACAAACATGACGAGTGAGGAAGAAAAAACACGTCAGTCCGTCTCGAATCGAGAATTACATTTAAATTAAACACTTAAACATGTGAGTCAAACACATCTGAAGTGTATATGCATTCACTACAAACAAAGAAGAAGAGTGGTAGTCGAGGTTAATACTGTCTGTATGTACCGTAGTTACAGAATAAAGCCTAAGATCAAACATTTGCTGTCTTTTACTCCAATAGTAGCAAGAGAAGCAAACCTTTAACACCACAGGCTGCTCCTGTTTGTGGTTCACACTTTGATTATGCTTTATATGTGTGCTACATTAGTGCCAGTAGCTGCCTGCTCCCAACACACACTCCAGCTGAAGAGGTAAAAACAACAACAAAAATCTCTTGATAAATGTAGAGGGCTGCCAGCGTCAGATCCCCAGTGTTATAAATACAGCAGTTCTCCACAGTGTATGCAAAAATCTAGTGTTGTGCATAATCTCTGTACACAGGCTCCCACGGCTTTGTTCTCATGAGATGAACCCTTTCAGTCTGATAAGCACTCGCAGCCAAATGTGCTAACGGCCGTGCTGCGGAGCTGCTTCGCGTCCTGAGCACCAAACAGCGCCGCTGATGTACGAGCGCTCTGCTGTTTTTACCACAGGCTGAAAACAAACCACAACAGGGACGCTCGAGCGATTGTTGCCACCTTGTGGTCAGAGCACACTACAAGACACGCTTTACTCCCATGATTGCAAGTCTGCAGAGCAACAATCAGACTACTTCATCATTTTTTTTCTTGAATAGCTGACATAAATGTCTGAAACCAGGCCAAACAAGTGAAGTTAAATAGTGTGAGGAGGTTTTTTAGCCACAGAAATCTGTGTCAAATCAAAAGATGCAGATCCATCTGCTGTGACGACCTTGTCAGAATAAAGGAGCAGCTTTATCTTTAAACTAGTGTTTTTGCCCTTGGAGGAAATATAATAATCAGACCTTTCAAATCCCCAAAAGGAAGAAATGTAGCATTTTCAGCTTCTCTTCCAGTCAGAGGGCTGTTAGTGTTTGTATATATGTAGATGGAGAACTTGTTTCTGTACAGAAAGCCTGATTAAAGCATCTTCAGCATCGCTCTAGAAAACAACACCGCTGCCTTCCTGCTGATGTCTCCTTGTAGACAAGTAAACCTTTGTAATGCTCCACCACCTTCCTAAAAATGAACCTGCTCCGTCAGTCTGCAGGAGAATAAGCTGGTCAGGAGCTACACATTAAGCAGCTGGTCCTTACTGTTGGTCCCTGATGTATCAGCGAATTCATTTTTCTGCCAGCTGCTGTCAAACACCACCA